TGATTATCATGTTCAAGTACAAGTTCAACAATTTTTCACGCCACTCCATTTAAAAAAATATTAGAACATTTTTAAAATTGTGATAAACCAAAATTTTACCGCAGTTTGAAATCGGGACAAATTTTTGTATAATTTTCTCTATTCTCATCATTTTTTAATACATGGTCACAATTTTTATACACATTTTGACACTCTTAAATGCTTGACTAAAATTTTGAAATACAAGATCAATTTTTTAATACATCATCAACATTTTTTCTATACACATTTTAAACATTTTTCAAATGATTTATTAAAAAATTGAAATACTTCCTTCGTCCGAAAATAAGTGTCTCAACCTTAGTATAACTTTAGTAAGTGTCTGAACTTTCTACTAACTTTAGTACAAAGTTATACTAAGGTTACTGAAGTTATAACCTTAGTATAACTTTGTACTAAAGTTAGTAGAAAGTTCATACACTTACTGAAGTTATACTAAGGTTGAGACACTTATTTTGGGATGGAGGGAGTACAAGATTAGCATTTTTGAATACATGATCAATTTTTTTTCTATACACACTTTAACATTTTCAAATGCTTGATTAAAATTTGAACTCCCTTTATATTATTATTTTGAGTAATACTCCTTCTATTTTATGGAGTGAAAGTCATGCAAAGCCCACGTTTTCCACTATATGCACGTTATATAGGCCTATTGGCTGTAGGCCCACTTGGCAGAAGAAAAAAAAGGCCTTGTCCAACTGAGGCCCAAGCCCAACAAGATGTTGTAATGTTTAACAGGTGTTGGTCCGGTCGCGATGGCCTGTTGGTTCGGTACTATGGAGAGGGGAGTTGTGGTCGCGAGTTCGACTCCCTGTAGGCCGTATTTTTTGTTGGATTGAACATGTGAGTAGGGCCTACCTGTTAGGTCAGGTGGGTGCCACCTGTCAATTTGATGGGGCCTACCTGTGAGGCCGATGGTGGGTCCCGCTCATAGGAGGGTGGGTACACATGTCAAGTTGGTCCCATGTGCCAATTTCGTGGGGCCTACATGTCAGGTCGGTGGTGGGTCCCGTGCGATTGGATAGATGGTGTATGGTCAATAAGTCAATGTGTGGGTCTCACCTGTCAGTGCTATGTTTAAATTGACATATAGGTGAAAATTGACACATGGACTTGACATATAGACAAAACTGCTGAAGTGGCCGCCCCGTCATTTTAACGCATGATAAATTAGCAACTATGACCATTTATATTGGTCCTAATCAACTAGAAATAAGGCAGCAGAACGATGCTGTCTGCTTTACGACCATTTAGTGTAAGAAAATTACGAAAATGGTCGTTATATTTTAGGGTTTGGACTATCCAGCGGACCGCGTCCTCTGGGTTCTCGACCTCCCCCCTTGAAGATCACATCGTCAAGATCATCTTCCTTCAAACCAAGTTGTTGCATCATGTCATGTAGTTCCTCCTGGCCCAATCCTCTAGAAGCAGCAGATGTGGGCGTCCCCGCACCCCCTGAGATCAAAGAAGCTGACTCCAAGAAAACCCTAGATCAATTGGTAACCGAACCGTCACCCAGCACCTGGAAAGGGCCACCAAGGCGTTCAATGGGACGAGCCCACCCCCGAATCAGCTCGAGTGGAGGCTACGTAGAGCAACCGGAGACCATCATACAAAGAAATCTCAACACTGCTAGAAGTCCACGAGAGTAGAGAGAAATCCTACACCAGGGAGAAAAGCGTGTATATCTGAGTAAGAATTAGCGAGTTCATGTTTCCTGACCTAGTGCCGACCTGAGCCAAAGCAAGAAGGGCGATCACCTAGGGGCGAGCCTAAT